TCACTCTTTTTGTAGCCGTTATGGTTTCTCTTTGAGGTGTTAATCTTTTTTTTTTTTGCTTTTTTTAATAATTTGAACACAAATTCTTTTAATTTCTTGGTTTACATACTTTTATTTATCTATTTTTCTATACTTTTGTTGGTGTATATAATTTTTGTGTATCATAGGCACTATATTTCTTTTCGATATTATATGTTTTTCTCATATCCATTTCATATCCGCACGTATATCCATACCTATATCTGATTTTAATCAATATGGATATGAATGTTTCCTACCCATGCATATCCATGTCCGTAATTGGTAACTAAACACTTACACAATAAATATAACCATTTGCCATCTACTAATTCGTATATAAATAATTAGAGTATATTTGTAATTTATACTGTTCAAATATGACAACGGGCCTTTTCTCTCCCAAAAACTTTCACTCCACAAACTCATCCTCATCTCCAGGATCTCGACCTCAGCTTCCGCTTCAACGGAGACCATTTCACAGTCAGATTCTCTGATCTACAGAGTGACCAACGACGTCGACCGTCGAGTCTCGATTGTTCCGATTCTCGAGAGATGGGTCGATGAGGGGAGATCAGTAGAGAAGAGTTACTTAATTGGAATGGTGAAAACGCTGAGGAGAATGAAGAAGCCTGCTCATGCCCTCGAGGTTGAAATTTCTTCATTGCTTTTTTGTAACATTTACCGTTAATTTTTTATGCTCAGATGCTTGTTTTTTAGATTGTGTTTTTGTCTGTAGATGAAATTGACTTTGTAATTGTTGATACCCAGAGTGAAAAAAATCGTTTTTTTTTTCTATTTTAGATTGAACATGTAGTCAAATAAATAACCCACAGTTCAATGAAATATAATTTTGATACCCTAAGCCTGTTTGTTAAACTTTTGTTGAAGTGTGGGGTGTCAGTCTTTAATTTTTGTTAAAGTTTGGGTTATTTAAGGTAAATTTTGTTGAATTTTGGGGGTATTTTTTGGCCAAAAAACTTTGGGGGATCAGGTGTCTTTCTTTTGGAACATTGGGGTACTTTAATGGCAAAAAATAAAAATAAAAAGCCCTTCTGGGTGTCAAAGTTAAAAATGAAGTTAACTTTCGCGTGGGTATTTAAGTACAAATAATAACCCAATTAGCAGTATGAGTTTGCTCCAAGATTCATTGATACATTAGGAAATTTTAGCTTTTGAAGTTCTTAGACCTGATATTAAATTTTCCTTGTTCTTGGGAGTCAATGAGGCTTGTGATTCTTCTTTTGTTTACTTCCCTAGTTGCTTTCAAAGATGAACACAGTCCTCCAGAGAAAATCTTCTCTGACATAACTGTCTATTTCATTTTTTTTTCTTTTTCCCCCTTTTTTCTGTTCATTGGAGCATGGAAGTTTTATCCTTGCTCCTAACCCTGTCACATAGCTAGCCTGGCCATCCAAAGGGACAAAGTTGCTACATTGATTTGAAGGATTATTCTGGAAAAACATCCTGCTAATATGTGGAGCCAGTGAAGTTTCTTAAAATATCCATTAAGCGAGGATTACTTATTTACCTGTAAAAAAAATCAAGTCCAAGAAAATCTTTGTTACAATCATATGTAGAGTTCTATATGCTGTTGGGCATGGATATCCAAATTTGTCTCCCAACTTCTAACAACTTTAAGTCTCATAGTATCACTTCTAAGTTTTTGCATGGCTGTTTGTGAATGGTGTGTGCATCATATAGAGCTTATTTATGTCCTCCAGATTAGAGGTATCATTTTGACAATAAGTTTGTTAACAATTTGAAACTATCACCTCAATCCTCACTAAAACTTCCAAGTTTTGGTGTAGTAGAAGGGGCCCCTATGGTATGATATGATAGCAATCCAGGTTTTAATCTCACCAGCCATAAGTTTAAATAAGAAAATTTATCGAATGCTGATGAAATGAGAATATCTAATTCTTGGGTTATAATTTAACTGGCCAATAACAAAAAAAAAAAAAATTCTTCATATGCTTCCAAGTTCAGGGATTTCTCAAGTTGTCACATATATTTCCATCCATTCTGCGGATATTTTCTTTTATCTTCATTAGAGATGTCCGTTTGATCTCAAATCTATGGCTAAGTGATGAAGATAATAAAAGACATTCAGCTCAAATTGTTGAATGCCCTTTGCGTCAATGTTGTGCTTATTTGTTAAAGCTGGAGATCTGGTTCAAATAGGGCACCATCTATGTTACGTTAAGCACTTCAAATAGCTGTGGTATAGGTTTTATCAGGGTTTTTGCATTCACAAATTGTTGGTGTAGGCTACCAAAATCCAAAATCTCGACTTTCCTTTGAGTTCATATCTGTGAACGAGGGCTGATTCAGTTCATGCATTCTGACTCATGGAAGATTTCTAGTCCAGACTACCCCCGTCTGTGACCTAAGAAATAATAGAATAATGATAACTTATTGCTTAATCGAATTTTATTTTATTTATTTGTAATATGGTTTCTCCTTTCATCATAGAATTATTTGCATTTTTGAGACCTTCACTACGAGCTTAAAATTAGAGATATGAACTTCAATTATTTTACTGCAGTTAGAACTTTGGTCAATTTTTTGATTAAAATAACTATATTGCTCTTTTTACAAAAGTATTAGATCAGACCTTGCTTTCCAGATATTAAGCTGAAACATTCTTGTTATGATAATGCTCAACTTTATACATTTCAAATGTATATGGATATCTTTTATCTGTTCACACACTCAAGGACAAGAATAATTTTCAAAATAACCCCTGCTACTCTTTTGCTTATGCTACGATTAGTAAGTACAGAACCACGTCTTCCACTTTCATCCTGTTTACTGATCAAATTAATGTGCCCATTACAGTGCATATAAGACTAACCAAGTATGCTAGGATTTTCCCCAGCATGCGCCAAATTTATATTGGTAGAAACTCATCTGCTTGAGAGATTTTGACATGCATCGGATTATTCATTTCTTATATTATTGAACTGTTATTTATTTTTCAGCTCTTAGATAAATGGATCAGAACCCCTCATACATAATTTACATCCATATACAGTTTATTTTGAATAATCAAGGCACACTTTTTTTGCCCTTGTAAATTCCTTCCTGACTTTAAAACTTACGTTCATAATTTGAACCCAGGTATCCATGTGGATGAGCAATAGGAGATATTTCCCCTTATCTGCAGGTGACCATGCGAATCGAATAGATTTGATATTCAAAGTTCATGGCCTTGAGCATGCTGAAAATTACTTTAAAACGATCCCGAAGCAGAAAAAAGTCTATCAAACATATGGTGCTCTTCTCAAATGTTATGCCGAAGAGAAATCTATTGAGAAAGCAGAATCTCTTTTTAACATAATGAAGCAGCTCAATATGCTCACATCTTTCCCTTATAATATATTAATATCTCTATACTCGCGCACTGGCCAACATGAGAAGGTAGAGAGTATGTTCACAGAAATGAAAGAAAAGGGTATTCGCTGTGATGCATTCACTGATACCATTCTTCTTAATGTTTATGCTGATTCTTTAAACATCCCCAAAATGGAGGAAGTTTTGGGGAGAATCAAAAAGTTCAATGCTGTGGATTTTTACAAATATGCAATTGCAGCGAGGGCTTATGTGAAAGTTAAGGCTAGAGTTAAAGCTTTAGATAAACTAAAAAAGGCAGAGAAGCTGATTCCAAAAAAGAATAATCGATATGCTTGGGGTTTTTTGGTAACTCTCTATGCTGAGACTGGGGACAAAGATGAAATGTACCGAATATGGAACACATATAAATTATCGTTAGATAAAGCATCAAACTCGATGTACATGTGCATGATAAGCGGGCTTTTAAAGTTCGACGATGTTGAGGGTGCTGAGGCATTGTTCATGGAGTGGAAATCTCAGTTAACTGTTTATGATGTTAGGATACCAAAACTTTTAGTAAGTGCTTATCGCGAAAAGGGTCTTTTAAGCAAGGCAGAATGTTTTATGAATGAAGCTGTTCAGAGTGGGGATATGATTTCCTCGAGTATTTGGGGACAATTAGCAGATGGGTATTTTGAGGCTAATCAAATACCGAAGGCAGTGGAGATGATGAAAGCAGTGAAGGCAGAGAAAACCTGGTGGAAGTTAAGTCATGAAAAAGTGAATGCAGGTTTGAAGTACTTTGAAGAAGAGAAGGATGTTAAAGGAGCAGAGGAATTTGTAAGTTTAGTTCAGAAACAAAGTCCTTTGAGTAGGGAAGTATATCATAGTTTGATGAGGATTTATATGATTGCTGGAGTACCTTTAAGTGGAGTTTTAGAAAGGATGAAAGCAGATGGGTTTGATGTAGATGAAGAGACCGACAGAATTTTGGAGGAAAGTTCCCAAAATCAAGCAAAATCGTGATTCTGTTGCAGATTTTAGTTTCAGGACATTTTTAACAAGCTTTTTCAAGATTTAAGATGCATCGTTATTCGGTAAAGGAGTTAGATTATGTATGCTATAGGTCTTTAACAGTTCTGGTGACCAAGGTTTGCTCTGATTATTTGTCATTAATGTGCTGAATTTTGGTTTGAGTGGGAGAGTTGAAGGCCTTAGAACCTGCAGACTTTCAAACATAAATATGTGACCGTTTATGCATTCCTAGTGTAGAACTAGATGCTCGAGTTGATTAAATGCAGTTTCGTATCTCTATCTATGTTTTACGATTAGCGAGTTGGGGCAACATTTGATCTTCATGATTGATTCGGTTGTTCTCATTATAACAGTAGTTTTTCATGTGTCGTTTACTCTTGATCTTTCGTTAATGCATGAGTGGAATAAAATGTATAATCAGATGAATGAACCTCAAGAAGATTTTCATTCATTCATTATACTTTCGACGTTGTTTTGATAGTATACAACCATTGATGGTAAACAATCATTCTCAGAAGTTGTAACCGTCCTTTGTATGGATACAGTGGATGTATACATCAATCATCAAATAGGACTAGGGTGCCATGACACAATCTGCAAGATGAATCCAATGACAATCATCTAAAGATGTAACATGAAGTAACCAGTATACGATGAACAACATATAATGCCATTAGAAAGCAATCCATCCACGAAAAACTCGAAAACTCTCGAATTTGCTCTAAGCCAGATCCTTCACCACCAGAAATATCAGATATCTTCTGCTTCCAACTGACTTTTTTTTTGTGCGTATTTATATCTGTTAAACCCCAATGGTAAGAATCAAAGACAAAACCCTACCATAATCAGCGATGTCGCTTATTTCTCATCGTGTGATGAAAGAAAGCCAATTCAGTGAACCTCTGTTTACAAGTGTATCAGTATATCACCAATAACTTCCTGAATCCATTGCTCAAAATAGCAGCAGGCAAAACATGACGCAGCAGAAGAGGAAAACCCAGATTTGATGGAGCGTGCTCCTAACCTCCATCTCCTGCCTCCTCTGCCTCGGGGTACCCCCATTGCTAGCAGCATAATATGGGCTCTGCCCGGGGAAGTGTACGCTCTCTACCTCCTGGTGGCCCCCAAACACCCAAGGGAGCACTGCGATGGCCATCCCACCGAGAACTTCACCAGCCATGGAATGAATCCCTCTGTTCATTGCTGCCAAGGAAGGAGACGAAGGTGCTGGCATGAAATCACTCGAAGGCCCGTGATGTGGATAATGGTGATAATGCTCATGCTGATGAACATGGTAGTGCCTGTGGACAGGAATCGGATGGTCATCAGACTCGGACCCAATCCCTGACTGTCCTCTGTGATGCACCGAGGAGTTGGGCCTCCGTGGGATTTTGAAGCTTTGGTGAGAGCCCTCAGCGCTGTGACCACGGCCATAGAGGGGGACGAGGGAATCCTTTGCGAGCTAAGCCTTGCAGACTGGGCATTGGTGTGTGGAGATGCTCTCCATCTCCAGCCATTTGTAGATGCAGGGCCAGCAGTAGAGATGGCCACAGAGAGTAACAACAGGGTCCACCGCAAAGTCCAAGCAAATGTTGCAGTCGAAGCACCCGTTAGCTGATACATGCTTCTTTAAAGGTTCTTGTCTGATCTCGGGTTCTTCTGTGGACTCGCTGAAGTAGCCATTAGGGGTGCCATCTACCTCCATATGAGAATTGGCTGATGGGGCGTCCAGGTGCTACTGCTCGCTGACGGGAATAAGGTCAGATAAGGTGCATTGCTTATACTTTTATTGCTGGATTCGTAGTATATAATTATCGCATAGGTTGTAACTTCAGATATGCAAAAGTACAGGAGATATGGACCTCATTGAAGAGATTAGATAGCCAGCTCAAAGTTTCAGGGATTAATGCTGATTTAGGTAAATATGTGTCATGGTTGTCCTTGGCTATGGAAAATGGACGCCTCTCCCTTTGTTTTCAATGAAAGCAAGATATGCATAGACTTTACCTGATCAATTGTTTAGGAAAGAAGAGCATATCAAAATGTTTGCTACATGTCTGAGAAGTCTAACGCAATGAGAAGGCTGCGCTAAGGTTTGATCACGTGTCATCCTACTCTATTTTGATTGTTCATTTGCACCATTTCAAGCAAATGCTAGTACTTAAAAACAATTATTTATAGGATAAGTTTCACTCAGTCCCCCATTGAGTTTGGACGTTTGGCACTCGACCCCCAAAAAACTTGAAAACTGTGTCTAGACCTTCAGTTACTCCGGAAATTTCAGAAAAGCCTCGGATCATTTTGTATTCCTTATGCACTTTAACCCCTATTAGAGCATTTCCAAGAGTCTCCCAACGAGGCTCCTAAGGATGATGTGGTAAGGAAAAAAAACTCCTAAGTTATTCCAACAAACTCTCAAGTATCTTCCTAAATCCTAATTGGTGGTGGGGCTCACCATGGAGCTCCTTAGAGCTCCACAAATCTGTGAAGCATTGGGGAGCTCCTAAGGGGTGGGGCCCACCAAAAATTATTTTTTTATTTGATTTATTGTTTTAAAATATATTTGTAAAATGTTATTTTTAGAAGAATGGATTCTTTAAATAATATTTGAGCTCCTAGTTAGGAGTTTGTTGGAATATTTCTCCTAGTAAGGAGCTCCTAAGTGGGCCTCATGTTTGAGAGTACTCCAACAAGAGCTCCGTAAGAGGAGATTGTTGGAGATGTTGTTACAGCGTCAACTCATATTTTGAGTTCTCAAACAGAAAACATCACATAAATGTTCCCCTCTTCCTCTCGTAAAGAAAAATGTCCTTCTAGTTGTTATATAAAGTCGTTGCAAATAGCTACGCCTGAAACAAAGAAACCGTTCTGAGTCATGAAAATTGCCTAGGGGATGTTTTCCCCCCTTTTTGAAGAAAAGGTCAACGAATTTTCATTTTGAACAGTCCTCGATCCCAAAAAAAACGAACCCAAAAAAAATATTTTGATATGACACATTGATTTTGAATTAAAAACAGTAATTTTTTATGCAAAAAAAATGTGTATGAAATCTCATGAAATCACAATCATAGGTATATCCTCGTAGATTTAACATTTTTACTCAGTATATTTGGTGATGACAGTTAATTAAAAAATTAATTTTCAAAGCAAAACTGGAAAATTTTGAAGACAAAATGTGATTCCATGAGCAACCCAACAAAATCTCTATAGTTAACAATCACCATCAGGAAAAAACAACGAAACAAATATAATCTCTTGGATCCATTAAATCAAAACCCTAATGATGGGAGGAGAAACGCGATCAGAGAATCAAATGAATCTCGATTCTCTTCGGAGATCGAGAGAGTAAATGGATGTAAATACCTGCAACTGAGCTGGGATCTCTCTTTCTCCTTCCCCTCGATTCGTTTGAGCTGCGATTCTTGGATTTTTCTTTTTTTTCCTTAACGAGAGAGAATTTTGTTCTTGAGCTCTAATAATGGCAAGTAATAGAGATTAAGGAGAGAGGAGAGAAAAGGAATTAAAAAATGGTAAAAAAAAATTAGGGCAACGAGATCGTCGCGGGTAATTACGTTACTTGGCTCACGGGCATCGCACGTGAGAGCCATAGGAATTAAATTTCTTTTACTTCCTTTTTTCTTTTGTCATCAAAGACTGAAAAGCGCTTAAATAACCGTATTTATATAATAGTTTCAGTTAGGGATGACCACAGTTGATGCTAACTGCTCTAACCGACCGAGCCGACTGATTTTTGGCGGTTTGATTTGATTCTAGAAAAACGTTGGTTCGATTTGATTCTAAAATATTTGAAACCGAGGTAATTGCACCGACCATCATCAACATAATTACTTAAAACTTATGCTTATTCAAGGTGAATAGATAATTGATACTAATATTTTTATATATCTTAATTGATAAATGTTTAATTTTAGTTTGTAAAGTTTTTGATTTGATAAGTTTTTATTTGATTTGTGATGAAAAGTTTGAGGGAGTAATAATCTTGCCTTCTAGTTAAAAATTATCTGGCTTTACATGTCTAAGGGCAAACCGAACGAACCGGGCTAAACCGCACCGAACCGACTTGACATGGCTCTGTTCGTTGTTGAATTTTGTTCGTTTTGATTCGGTTTGACAAAACATAGTCAAAACCAACTGAACCGAAGTTTGCTTTGCTCACCCCTACTTTTTGTCACTTTGTACTTTTATATTCTCAGTTATTTTTCGTAACATTTATATACTATGAGGTAGTGTTTGGCTCGCTCTTTTTATGAAAATCGCTTGGAAAATGATATGACTCGTGTTTCTCGGAACAAAAACCAAAAAAAATTATTCATATTTATTAGTCAAAATTACAAATAAATTGCTCGAAGCTGTTGAAATTTCAAGAAATCCATATTCTAACTTTTAAACTGGGGAAATGGTCTTAGAGATCTAAGATTTGTTATTAAAAATGAGGTCCACATCATATTTCTACTTTTACTAACCTTTTTCAATCCATCACCCGCAGGGGGTAAAACAAACAAAACTAAAGAATAGGATGTTAGATTTAATCTAATAAATCTATTTGTGGGCACATATGATTAATCAATGTGTATTGCTATCTTTCAGGATAACCCACTAAAGTGATCAATTAATTTGGGTTAATTGGGTATTTAAATAAGTCATGGGGTTATATGTGCAGATACCAGGTTGTAATTGTAATTTGTTGAGGGGCCAAATTACAAATGTACAACATCTATAAATAAGGGGTTATGGTCCCTAACCTAGGGTTACATTCTCTAATTCTCTACACCCCCATCTAGTAAGAGAAATTCAGATTTAGAGGAACCCTAATGTTAGAAGATCATCAAAAACTCAAATCAAGTTTTCTTCTATGGATTCAGGTATAAGCTTCCGCTCATTTATGATTCTTGTTAATCTCTTTGAATTAATCATGGCTATATGGTTTTAGATCTCAAGTTTTGGTTTAGATCTAACAAGTGGTATCTGAGCCACCTTGATTAATTCTTAGGGATTTAAGTTTTATTGAGTTTTTTGATCTTAAATCTCTGGTTAAAGATTCAGTTTTTTTTTCGGATGAACAGTAATTTTTTGTTCGGATGAACAGTAACGAAAATTTTTCGGATGACCAGTAAAGTTTTTTGTTCGGATGAACAGTAACAAAAAAATTTTGGATGAACAGTACAGTTTTTTCGGATGAACAGTAACTGAAAAATCGCCGGCGAACAGTAACTTTTTTGGATTTTTTTTGACGGTTTTTTCTTGGATCTGGATCAAGAAAACTCATTTTTCGATTCTAGATCTATTTTTTGATTTAATGGCGGCGGTTTCAGTTTGAAACCCTAAGGGTTCGTGCGTGAAAACGTGGCGAACA